TTTCAGTCATCTGTTAAAAGACATTTAATCACTCATTGGAAATGCCCCTAAAAACAGATAATATTTTGGATACTATTGTGAACATACGTCTTATAAAGATCTTTATGAGTATTTGCTTTATTTAGGAGGGAAGAAAATCAAGCCTTGAAATTTGGAAGTTGCTATAATTTGCAAATGAATCATTGTTTTGCATTGTGTGAAACCTTTTCTAAGTGCCTTGTTTCCCCAAAGCCTGCTATAGTCAAGATGTTTTTCTTGTGGTGGTATTAAATGGGGGAGGGGTCCAGAATTAACTCTAGCTGTTTTCCCAAAGCATCTTTTGTGTGGTGTGGCTGCCCTTCAGCCTGCCCTTCAGGTTGCCAGTTGCTAAGGTTATGAGCTTTCTTGATGAGTCTCGTACAGTCTCATTCATATTGTTGGTGGATTATTAAATATTTAGATGGTGAGTCTTAAACTCTGTTCCCAGGGTGCTTTCTCAGCCAGTATATCCTCCGCCTATTTTAAACTGAGCATATATTTGAACATTCTTATATCTTCTGTAGTGGGGGGCGGGTTCTTAATTTGAAGCTGTTTAGAAAATTGAAGTATTTCAAGACAGAATTTGTATTTTAACTTGTTTTTAATCTGTTGAAATTCTAACAATTTTTTGAAGTTGAAATGATTAGATTTAAAGAGCCACAAAAATACTACTCTGTCTGGATGAGGTGTGCAGGCATTGCCTGCTTGTCACGTCTTGTTAAATGCTTTCTTTGTGTGGAATATATACAGTGTGTTCACCCTTAACTGCTTTCAAAAACTATTCCTTGAAGAGCAGCAAGTAGAAAACTTTGACCTTTTCCATTCTTCCTATTGTTTCTTCAGCCTGTTGTGTGTGTCCCCCCCCACTTCATATAGAGTTCTCTTCCATAAAACAGAAATTATTGTTGTTTAATTAGCTAAGGAGAAGAGCAGATTTTCAGATTAGTCTGGAAGCCAGGCCTTATGAGAAATGGTTGAGAGAATTGGGTACGTTTACCCTGGGAAAGAGGAGATTGAGAGGCGATATGGTAGCCATCTTTAAATGTCTTAAGGGCTGTCATGTGGAGGATAGAACAAGGTTGTTTTCTCCTGCTCCAGAGACTAGAACCTGAATCAGGGGGTTCAAGTTACAATTATTATATAAGAAAGAAGATTCCGAATAAACAAGAATAACTTTCTCATAGTAAAAGCTGTTTGACTCCCAGAAAAGGTGATGGACTCTCCTTCCATGGAGGTTTATCAGCAGAGGTTGGATGGCCACCTGTCATGTATGATCTAGTTGTGATTCCTGCATTGCAGGGGGCTGGACTAGATGACCCTTGGGACTCTTTCCAACACTACAGTTCTGTGCTTATATGATATATGTGTTTTCACTGAAAGTATAATTTTAAAGCGCTTCTGTATCATGGCATGTAGTGGTTCTGACATTTCAGTGTTGTTTTGTCAGCTACCTAATCTGAAAGAGAAGTCAGTCTCCTGAAATAAGCGTAAGCTGGTAAACAACCATCAACAACTTAATATTTAGTATTCTAAAATGTCCCCCACCCCTCCTTTTTACTTAACTTTTGGAAGTTCATTGCAAATTGATTATCTTCATTGGCATTATTTGAAACAGCCATGTTATTATTGTGATTTATTTTAAAAAATATAAAAGAAGACATTTATTACTACAATTGAGAATAAGTTTCACTGAACACTGTTGGATTCACTTCTAATAATAATAATTTATTATTTATATGGCACTTGGTTGCCCCAGGCACTCTAGGCTGTTTCCAACAAATTATGAAGCCAAAGTAAAACATAAAACATTAAAAACTTCCCTATACAGGGCTGCCTTCAGATATCTTCTAAACGTCAGATAGTTGTTTATTTCCTTGGCTTCTGAAGGGAGGGTGTTCCACAGGGCAGGCATGACTACTGAGAAGGCCCTCTGCCTGGTTTCCTGCAGCTTCACTTTTCGCATTGAGAGAACTGCAGAAGACCCTTGGAACTGGACCTTCGTGTCCGGGCTGAACGATGGGTGTCAAGATGCTCCTTTAGGTATACAGGGCCGAAGCTTTGAATTGTGCTTGGAGACGTACTGGGAGCCAATGTAAATCTTTTTGGATTGGTGTTATATGGTCACAGCGGCTGCTCCCATCCTGGCAGCAGCTTCTAAGAAAACTGTAGCACAATTAAGGGCTGTAGTTCAGTGGTAGGACATTAAGTCAGATCAGTGTAGTTTTGGCCTCTGTGTATAACCCAACCAGCCAAAGCCACTCAACGAATCATGAATGGTGGTCCTTCAAGAGTTTGATAAACATTCTGTTGTTGCTGCCTGAGTACTACAATAAGCAGAGTGGTGTAAAGCACAGTTTGCCCCAATATATGGTTGGTGGACTGCCTTCAGCATTGTGGAATCATAAGTTGTGCAGTACTAGTTGTTATAGTGAGCAGGGTTCCACACAGTTAAAGGACCAGCCAGTTTCTGATGTTTATATATTAGGTCTGGAGGTCTGGTGGGGGATACGTACACACATAAACAATTGTGTACCATATACAGTTTTGTATCATCAGTATTTGGAGATGAACGTATGGTGAATGCCATCTGACAATGGGCAAGTTGCAAAAATGAAGTTGTGGAAACTGTAGCAGCCACAAATATCAATGACAGGTTTTACCCTAAGGTCTTCATCTGGATTCTCAGCAACGGCAAGAATAAGTGATCATACGATGGACTATAGTTCAGTGGTAGAACATCTGCTTTGCATGTAGAAGGACCCAGGTTCAATCCCCAGTATTTCCAAGTAGGGAAACACAGGAGACCTGCTACCAGACAGTGTAGAGAAGACTGAAGCTCTGTGTAAGACAGTTCCTGTCTTCCTTAATGTCAGGCACTAGGCAACATTTCTCATCCTTGGTTTTTTTTATTCTATCCTAAAGCAACATGCTTGTAAGTGGCACCTCTGAAGTACAGTATGTTTGACTGGGATGGCCACTGGTCTTAGTATTGTGAACAATATTTCTACAGCTTTTGGTGTATCTAATCTTCATCTGTTCTCTGTTCTTTCAGCCAGTGCTTCTTTGTACTTAATCTTGTTACTGTTCTTAAGCTTATCTCCATCAAAAGAAGTCAGCTTCAGAATGGCAAATAATATAAGCAAGTCTTAGTTTCAGCCACCAACGTGAAATATTCTATGCCAGTGTTTCCCAGAACTTCTCTTTCATTTTCTAGGACCATATTCCACACACACACCCCTTAGCCCAAGTACTTTCTTTGTCAAGGAAAAAGACGGGGTGTAAAGAAATATAAAATAATAAAATAATAATAAAACACACCATTGCATTATAAATGCTAAATAAGCACCCTATATTAGAATTCACTAAAGCTGCATGCTATGTACAGCTTTTGTAATTTTCAATATGAACTTTAACTTCTTCTTTTTTACTTCCTCCATAAGTTTTCTGGAGTTGCATCATTCAGTCACAGTACAATATCACAGTATAATACAAGTGCTTTAGTTTTCTTTAATACAGACCAAGATTAAATCATTTTCTTTCAGTCTTCAAAGCTAGAAGCTACAAAAGGACTTAGGTATGCACTCAGGTGCCCTTAACACTGAAAGCATGTCACGTTGCTTTTCAAATTTCCCTGAGTTTAAAAATCAAAGTTTGATAAGGTATCCCACAGATGATAAAAACCATCACCTGCATGCCCAAGAGGTTTGATAAGAATCAAGTGACAAAATCTCCTGAAACCTTCAAGTGTGTGTGAAGATGAGACCTTACGAAGGTGGCAAAATAGAGAAACACATGCACACTGACCACTGACACAGACTACAGTGAAGAGGAATAAGTATTTGTTTTCATTTGCTTTGTGTTTACATTAAGTCCATCCTCCATTACCATACCAAGTTAATGAATGACTAGGGAATGATGGATGGTTTGAGACTACAATATGATTGGGAAATAGAGAAGCTTGTGCTGGTAGCCTCAGTGGTAATCAAACAGATACTTTAAATGTGAAAAAGTTATTTTGCTTGGGGTCAGTGAAGATCACTGGTGTTCTTAAACTCTTTTCAGGTACCATTTCTCATAGAATCATAGAATCATAGAGTTGGAAGAGACCACAAGGGCCATCGAGTCCAACCCCCTGCCAAGCAGGAAACACCATCAGAGCACTCCTGACATATGGTTGTCAGGTTCTCAGCCTACTTAGATATCCTGCCTCCTGTATCTGCCCCTCTCGACCATGAATATTTTTATGCAGAGAAACCGATTTGAATTTAAAGTGGCATAAAATGTCATTCACAGAATGTCTAAAGAATTTATGACTGTTGAGGGCACATCTTTTTCCTGTGATAGAATGCTTTAAGAAAATTGCAGTTGAAAAATTCAGTGCAACTCTGTTCATTAGATTATAATATGCCTTTGTTTGCAGTAGACTCCTATTGTTTCTTACTAACAGTGGTGGTATTCTATTAGTGTGTAGTAGAATTTAGTAAGCCTGTAAGCTATCTAAAATATTTGTGCTTGAACTGGCAGATTGGATTTAATGCGCTTGAGTTTTAATTTTTGAGAAAACCAGGCTATGTGCAGAAAATTCTTGGCCTTTTTCAATCCACTAGTGGGAGTGTGAAATGGGCTTATGCTTTTTTATGTATTTTAGTTATAATTGGGTTCAAAGCCAAATATTTATCTGTAAAGCCAAGGGTGAGACCTAGAAAAAACTTTGAATGGTTGAAGGGCAAGAGTGGTATCTCCAGTTTCTGCTCCCTCACCCCCATGAGAATGGGTTTTGTGGGCTCATACAGCTTCAGTGGGAAGGAGGAGGTGGGGAAGTCCTGCTGCAGAAGCAGACCTCTGTTCACAGTTCTCTGAAACCTGCCCATATCATTAAGTGATACAGATATTCCAAGGCGATGTGTGATCATTTTTATTTTATCCCAGCCATCAGTTTGCATGAAACTCACGTGAATGTTGTACAATCAGGCTATGACTTTTTCTGTAAGTTGCATCTTGTAAATTTGCTGCTTTGTGAGTTGAGAAATAAACCAAATATTTGAACTGCAGCGCTGGAACACAAAATGACTTCATGTATCAACATTAAGGAACGTGGTGCATTTGGAGAATGTTTGATTAGGGAGAGCAGGTTGCCTGATTTCTCATTTTAGTTGGGGGGGGAATTGTAGAGGGTGCTTCATTCAAAAAACTGTGTGTCCAGCAGCATATTACCAGTGACATGCTTATTCTCATTTTCAAATACGTTTCGTCTAATGGAGGTGAGAGAAGGGCAATGGCCTGCTCATAGAGGGGCATCCACTTCATTCACAATATCTGGCTTTATTTTAGGACTGTATAGTAGGAAGCAAATCTAGGGAAGCTGCATTCCCAGACCTGGCATTTTGGTCTCTAGGAAGCCAGAGCCCGAGACTCAGACTACACACTAAGTGGAGTCCCATGACTTTGAAACTTTGCACAGTGTATTGATTGGGGCCTTCCTCAAGGAAGCTGCTATGTCTTATTTTCATTTCTTAATGATCTTCCTCCCCACCCCACACCTCCATGTCACCTTCCTTCTATGGAGCTTGGCTTGAAGAGAATAGATTTATTGTTCTGCAAACCTGCATTTGATGCTTCATTCTGGGCGGAGAACAAGAGAACACACTGCACCAAAACAACATGACCTAGTGACAAAAGCTAGAGAACTGACCCTTCTATATAAAAAAAGCATGTGCTTAAACGAAGACTGGAGCTGCCTACGGATTTCTTTTTAAGATGGTCTTAATTTATGTATTGCCAAAAATGCAAATAGGTGTCAAATAAAAATCAAATATACATAATTCTTGAAAATTGTAGCTTCCTAGGCAGGAAAAATCAGGTCACAGAGCAGAAAACCACAATACTAGTTCCAGGCAGCCAGAATGAGTGTGTGAGTGTTTCTATCAGCAAATTCATGTGTTTCATGGTAGTTTGCCCTCAAAATGCAGTGAACATATCTGTAGCATGCATGCTTCCTTGTCTCCCCACCCCCAGTCCCAGCCATTCAGTGAAATCTGCTGTGCAGTCACAGCTTCTTGAGCTTTTGATGAATATTCTCCAATCAGTGTTCTTACTAGCTTCACTCTTCCTTTCATTTATAGCTTAATTATTGCCAAAGCGGTTTCGTATATCTTCAAAATTATAAAACCCTAAAATTAAAAACAGTTCACTTCATTTTTCCTGTTAAATATGAAATTAATAATGCAAAATGTTGAACTAGCTTCTTCAAATAATTGCAAAGTTTTTTATTTAAAAAAAATTATATATAAGACATGCTGTGTTATCCTATTTTACAAAGACAAACTACATGAGAATTTGTAGCAGTAAGAACTGGAGCAAATACAAGAATCAATCCCTTTGTGAGAAAGCTTAATCCTATCAATGTTGCAGCATTGGATAATAGCTCTTAGCATTATACTTACTCTGTTATTTGTGGAGTTTTCCATCTTAAATAAGCATTTCCAGAATATGTAGTTTTAGAAATAGTACTTTTTTGGTATTTCGTGTTAATCAACTCAAATGATAATTTGTTCACAGAAATGTTACATTTTTATTTTTCTGCAGTTGCACTAAAATCACCCAGTTCTGCAAAGTCTGACAGAAATGGCATTCAAGAAAGCAGCAGAACTATTAAACCTAGAGAGACCATGCTGGAAGGAGAACTTTTACTACAGGTACTTGTGGTTATGTTGAAAGAATTTCTGTGGGAAATAATCTTGGAACATGGGTTTAATTTGCTTCATTCATCAATAGAAGCATAAGCAAAAACTTTGCATCTATTCCAGTTACCACTTCAGGCTTTTCTTTAATCTTTTTCTATGATCTAGAACATAATGCCTTACTATGTATAATGGATTGAGCCAGAAAATCATTGTTTACTAGCTAAGCCTTGTAAGTAAGTCTACAAAAGTTACTAGGCTACAAAAAAATAATAATGCACTAGTCAGCTAATGGCCTGCATTTCAGTTTTGGCTACAGAACAGGGAGAACCTTCTTCATGGAAACACAGGCAAATAAAATTATTGGCTTTAACTGGCAAAGGAAGGATGGAATGGCCCACCCCTCTTCCACCAGTCTAGTGCATTTATGTCCTGGTCACAGAGGAAAATACTTTCTTTCCTCAACCTTTAGCATAAATACTAAGCTGACAGGCTAGGATAAATTTGTCCATCTTCTGTCAGCCCACTCACTGGCCTGTATGGATTTCCTTGTCACCTATGATAACCAAGCAAGTTGTTAAATACACACTATGTTGCTCATTTTGCTTATTTGCATAATTTAATTTCCTAGCTTCTTTAAAACACTGTCCAGAGTGAATGTTAGTATTTTGGGCTTAAATCAAACTAGTAAGTTGGGATCTGAATTACAGGTTTTTAGGTCCTCAGCTCTGGACCGCATATGTATTTTCAAAATCCCATAATTAAAGCATTAAGCATATAACATCATAGGTGTATCTTAATCTGTAAATGTGTGCAGAATCCTTTGATGCTTTATAGTAACACTACCTGAAAGTGCCCAGTGTTGCCTGGGAATCTAAGAAACTAAAACAGATTGAGATTTTTAAATGAATTGTGTAAGTTGTTAGTTTTGAGGGCTGTGCTCAGCCCCCACCCCCTGACACAGAGCCCTGATCTGACCTGGGGGACACCTGACCAGATTTGGTCCTGAATCCATTTTGGGGTGGGGCTAATGTTTAATTAGCAGGCATGGGGAAGGAGGGACTGCATCTCCTTTTCCCCTTTTCCTGAATGCACTGCAGAGATCA